GCCCCGCGTGTGCGCGGGCGGGGCGCGGCGTGCGAGGTGTCTCTGCTGGCGCTGGCTTAAGCGAGGGCTATCGAAACGGCAAAGTCCAGCGCCCAGCCAGGTTAAGTAAGACAAAGGAATCGGTGTCGTCTGCGCGACTTTTGAGACCTCCCTGCACCCGCAGCACACAACCTGAGGAGTCCTCAGCTTACTTTTTCACAAGTCCCTTCCCCCATTCAAGCCACAGATGGATGCTGCTCACTCAAAACAAGCGGGCGGGTTAGCCTTGGTACTCCATGTGCCTCTGCACCATTACCCGCTGTGCGTATGCCCCAAGAGAGAGCGTTTCCCAGGAGCCGAGGTGTCAGGAAATGTAGGGAGAAAGGGGAAAGTCCAGCCAGTTACATCTTCCAAAGGAAATAAAAAAAGTTTCAAGGTCATCTTGATTATTAAGGTCGTATTAGTAAAACCAATATTTATGTAACATGTTCTGAGAGGGGAAAAAAATAGTCTCCCCTGCCTAGAAAAATCACAAAGGGACTGAAGTTCAGAAAGGGTGAAGTTCAAGAGTTTGGCTTCACTGTACTGGAATTAATGTTAATTTATTTTACATTATAATTTTTTTATGCTTTGAAAACAAAACTTAAAAATGTATGATATCTGGAACACAAATCCAACATGTTGCAACATGTTTATTGCTTACTCTGTACACATATAGCTCCAGGTCATCTTTCTGGACTTTTTCTCACCACCATCAATAGCAACATTTAGATAGAATGATAACAACGTCAGATTGTTCTAAAGTTCTAAAATCACAACCAGGACTATTACCATGACCGATTTTGACTAGCTGTTTCGAAGCTATCAAAGGTTTGGGGTTTTTGTCTGTTGTTGATTGTATGTGTACCTCATGTATTGGATTCTTATGAATATGGAACTCTAACAAAATAGCCCACTTTATTTATTATAGGCCTGCAGTGTTTTACAAAAACAGCACGTAAATTTTTTAACTGGATTTGTAACAATTTTTCTAACTGTAAAATTTGTAACTGGAACAGCTCCTGTACCCTTCTGCTAGCAAATCCAGATCACCTTAGTTACAGCCTGCACAAGCATGCAAGTAACAGAGTGAGACCCAAACCCTGCTAGGTGATCTCAAAGGGTGGCACTTACCGCTTTCAAGAATCTCAGGCCTGGTGCAAACTCACATAAGAACTCCAAGGCATCTGATCTCCCACTTCCGAGGAAAACTATTCCATGTTCATAGGAAGAGGACTTCTGCAAATCATAGGGATTTTTTGTTTACAAGATGCTGAACTTTTTACTTTTGACTTGTGAAGTACACTTGGATGAAATCAATTAATAATGCCTAAAAAAAATAAAAATGCTGGATAAAATTACCTTAAAGTTGGACACATAGAAGAAAACAAAATTCATCAAAGCATGCTGTGCTGAAGCCAGCATTGATTTACTGAACAGAAGTCCAGTCACCAGCTTCTTCAGATTTCAGGACTCACAGGGGTCAATTTCTCAATCTTTTTTTTTTTCCCCAGAAATTCAGGAGAAAATTTGTTTTCCAGCTTTCCAGATTTCTTAAGAGCCAGTCACAGGATCTCCATTATGTCCCGTTATGTATGATTACTAACCCCAATACCCACCAGTCTGAATTAAAACACTTCAAAGGAGGTACATACTTAAGTCTTAGTTAATTTTGAAGGTGGTCACAGCTTTATGCATTAGCATAAACTTTCATGTCCCTATTTTTAAGATAAATTGAAACTAACTTTGAATGGCAATAAAGACATCTGGGGTAAGACCTATCAGGAACTTTTTTTGCATATGTTGGTCTAAATTCCCATTTTAGTTCCTTACAACCTCGAAAGACGTGTGCTAGGTACTGGAGTAACCCTAAGCCCTTCCAGCACCGTTCTGGACGTTTCATTCATCAATCTCTTGGCCATTTTCCAGGCTCTTCCCATAGCCACCCGTCAGTGTCCCGCCAGCAGGGAAGGCCAGCACTCGCTCCGGACACGTTTGGCTGGAAAGCACTC